CAGCCGGGGGAGCGCGAAGGGCGCGGGGCTGCGGGCCCCGGCGGGGGGACGGAGGCCCCGGTCGCTGCGGGGCTCCCCCCCGGCCGGAGGGGACGCGGCGGGCGCTGACGCCTCTCCCGGCGGCCCCGCAGTGCGCCCAGGCGGAGGACTGGCGCTCGGCCAAGGCCATCTATGACTTCCACGCCCGAGACATCGATGGCAACGACGTCTCCCTGGAGAAGTACCGGTAGGAGGGAAGGGCCGGGCGCCGCTCGGCCTTGGGGCGCGGGGCCGAGGGCTCCGCGGGGAGGAACCTGGTTCAAAGGGCCCCGGGCGGCGCTGAGCCGCAGCGGGGTGACCGATTGCACAACCCGGGAGCGCGGCCGGCCCCCGGGCACCGTCCCGCCCCGCCCGGGGCCTCTCCCGCTCCTGCCGGGGAGCCGCTGCTGACCCGCGCCCTTCCCGCAGCGGCTACGTCTGCATCATCACCAACGTGGCCTCCAAATGAGGAAAAACCGCTGTAAACTACACTCAGCTTGTCGACTTGCACGCCAGATACGCTGAGAGGGGTTTACGCATCCTGGGCTTTCCCTGCAACCAGTTTGGAAAACAGGTACGTGGGGGAGCGGGGCGGGGGCTCCCCGTGCGGCCCCGGGCCCCGCGCGGAGCCCCCTTCCTTCTCTCGCCTTCCTCAGGAGCCCGGGGACAACGCTCAGATTAAGGCATTTGCTGAAAACTACGGTGTGAAGTTCGACATGTACAGCAAGATCGACGTCAACGGGGACGGCGCCCACCCGCTCTGGAAGTGGATGAAGGACCAGCCCCAGGGAAGGGGCACCCTGGGGAAGTGAGTGCGGGCGGGGGGCTGCGGGAGCCACCGCGGCAGGCAGGGAGGCCTGGCTGCAGCAAGGGGAAGGGGTTTGTTCTGCCGCAGTCTCACTGCTCTTTTTTCCTTCCAGCGCGATAAAATGGAACTTCACCAAGGTAGGACGCAGCTGCCTTCTCCCGGGCTCGCCTGGGCCGCAGCCTCGCTTTGGGGGGCGGTGGGGAGTCCCTGCGGCGCCGCGGGGAGGAGGGATCCTCGTGCGCAGGCTCCGCTCCGTGCGGTTACCCTGGCTGTTGGGGTGGGGGCGTCCCGAGGGGCTCCCGGGGCCCCCTGCCCGGTCCCCTCCAGCCCGGTCCCAGCGGGGCAGTGACCAGCTGAGGGGGGAGCCGCTCTGCCGGGGGCTACGGCTCCCCGGGCTGCTCCTCCGCTCTGCCAGGGCTGCGCAGCCCCTGTTACAGCTGGGCTCGCTCACCTGGGTGCTGCTTCCCTTCCACAGTTCCTCATTAACCGGGAGGGCCAAGTGGTGAAGAGGTACAGTCCGATGGAGGATCCCTATGTGAGTCAGCTGCCGGCGCGGCTGGTGTTAGAGCTGAGCCGGCCGCAGTGGTGCTGGGGCCGGGCGGGGCTGGGGCTGAGCGCTGCTCCCGAGCAGGCTCTGCTCCACGTCTCAGCTCTCTTCCCCCTTTGGCGAGGGGAGAAAGGGCACCGCTGCGCTGCGGGGGAGTGGCTGTGGCACCGGGGGGGAGGTGGTTCCGAGCCGTCCCTCTGGGGTGGGACGGAGGCGGCTTCGGGCACGTTTTTGGGGCAGTGATGTTCTCAAAGCGCGATGCTCCCTTCTTTCTCGCAGGTGATCGAGAAGGACCTGCCTGCCTACCTGTAGAGCTGCTCCTGCCCCCCTGCGCTGTGCCCGGGCCCCAGCGCCGGCCCTCCTGCTGCCCGTGGGGGCTCCTCTTCCAGCCCCAATGACGGTCTGTCTTCAAGCCAGCTTGCTGGTGAGGCAGACCTGAAGACTTGGCGTGCACCTGCTGGAAGAAGGCTTCACGGGGCCGGCGGCCGCTGCTGGGCAGCCCTTTTCTCTGGGCAACACTAGTGTCCCCTCGCAATAAACGTATTAGAAATGAGCGGTTGCGTCTGGCTGGGTGGCGGAGGGGGCTGGATCTGCTGTGCCGCTCCTGGTGCGAACCCAGAGCTTACACAACTCCCGAGTGCGGCAGGGATAATCCTCATTAGCGCTGGGGGGGGAATTGCACACAAATCCCGAGTCAGCTGCTGCTGGCGAGCGGCTCGCGCGGGCATGCACGTCCCCTCTGCGACCCGGCCCTGCGGGACGGGTGGCTGCCCCGATCAGGCACCGGCCTGGCGAAGCCTGGGCGCCCAGCGGCAGCCCCGGTGCCCTCCCGGCCGGCGCAGGGCAGCCGAGGGGACGGTTCCAGCAGTGGCGCAAGCCACGGCCAGCAGCAATTACTGCAAAATAAAACCGAGCCCTGTTGGGACATGGTGAAATGCCTCACGGAGCTGAGCCGCGTCTGACTGCGGCGTGCAGGACCATGGGCGCGTCCATCCTCCTCGGGAAGCCTCGGCTGCAGCTTGTTGGCGCTTGCAAAGGCGCAGCCTTGTCTGGCCAAGCCCAGGGAGCGCCAGCATCTCCCAGGGGCAGGGAGAGCTCGTGCTTTGCAGGTGATCTGCGGTGCAGGAGCGCTGCTTTGCCTCTTCCCGGGGTCTGGGCGAGCTGCTGGGTCTCCCCTTAACATCTCCGACCACCCTGGGCCCCTGCGTGCAAGCCTGCTCCCCCCACGTGCCTGAGCCCAGCACCCCGAGGATGCCGGCATGCCTGCTCCAGCCTGCCTGACCGCTCGGGCCCCGGGAGCTGCCCCACTCGGCCTCGCCATGAACTCTGCGGGCAGCACCGCAACGCCCAGCCGCGGTTGCACAAGGCGCGGCGTGAATTGCTCCTCCACGAGCAGCGCCCGGGCTCGCCGCCATCCCACCTCCCGCGGGGACAGAGCAAGATGTGACGCAGCAGCGACAGCCCGTGCTGGAGAACGCGCCTCAACAGTGGCTCCTTTATCTCCGTTTTCCCCGGGAAGGAGCAGCCCCGTCCACGGCCGGTGCCGGCCCCAGGGAGGATCCCCCTCCGCAGTCCTCAACTGCCACCGAGCTGGGGCCACAGGAGAGAAACTCCAGCTGCCCGCGGGACCCCAGCCCTCGGCCCCCCTATCCTGATCCGAGTCCCAGGTGGGATCCTGGGGCAGGTCTACACCTCTGGACAGACAGACAGAGAGCTGGGACTTACAGAAATCCCGTGGGTGGCTTCCTTTCCATTTTTACTGAGCAGAATGAAAAATTATCCTTCTGAGGCAAGTAGAAAATTCATGAATTATTAGTCAAAGGCACATATTCTAAAAAAATCTCTTTACATATATACATCCCAATTAATTATAAATACACATAGAAAAACAAAGGCAAACAACAAGCGGATTAAAAAGTGCTAACAAAAAGGTGTAAGGGAAGAAAAAAAGGGACTCATTTAAAAATACATACAATCAGTAGGACAACTGCATAATAATTTAGTTAAAAGATATTGTTACATATTATTAACCCTGACAAAAACACAGGATCGGGGCAGGGAAGGGCTTCCTTGAAGGTGCTCTCTGTCTTTCCAGAGACCAGGGAGGGAGAATTGCATAATTTTAAAATTAACGTCAAAGCCACCAGCTCAGGCTCCGGGTGACGGCGGAGAAGGGGCTGGCGGAGGGTGCCTAGTGGGAGAACTCCTCCTCGTTATTCCTGAGTTTAAGCCTCTCTGACATGGGTTTTCCCGGCGTCCATTTCTCTCCTTGCCGAGAACTCGGCAAGCGCCAAGCGAACGAACCAGGACAGGGGCGAAGTCGGGGCCTCTCCACGAGTGGTGTGGACTGGGACATATTTTAAATAGAGGAGGGTCTGGGGAAGGGGAGAGCCTTGCTCTGCTCGGGACTGGGAAAAGGCTGTTGTGGCACCCCGAGAAAGCGGCGAGCACTGGAGGGCCCTGCGGCGAGAGGGGAGCGTGGCTGCCATGGGCAAAGCACAAACCTCTCGGGGCAGCAGCGGGGTCCCGGGGCAGGGGCGCGCAGGGGCTCCCTGCCTTTGATGCTAACTTTGAGGTAAGGAGCTTTCCTTGAACGCGGTAAAAACGCAGCCCCGGCGGCCCCGGCTGCAGGGCTGACCCCGGCCAGGTGGGCTGGCGGGAGGCAGAGGCCAGGGGGGAGGGGGGGGGGGTAAGGCCAAGCCCCCAGAACAAAGGGCAGGGACCAGAGCAACCTCCAAAATGAGCCCATGCGGGCAGGTCCAC